AACTTGCATTACTTGTAATGCGTTACCCCCAACACTGTATATATATATATATATATATATATATAGGTAACGCAATCTGATCTTACCACCTGCTTGTCCACTGAGGTTTTGTCATTGTGTAAACTGTACAGCTGGTGTTTTAGGACCACTGGTGGGAGACTGTCGTTGAAGAGCTTTCGTGAAAACATTGTCATGAGATACTGCAAGCTTGACCTGATATCAGCTGCCCCATCTGCTGAACAAACACCATACAGCATGGTTATCCTCTAACTCTGATGGGAATCCATCATTTGTGTAAGGAAAGGAGTTCAGCAGAAACAGATTCTAGCAGTTACATACTGTATAATGTAGTATGTTAAGCCCATAGTAGCATGAGTATAGTAATATATTAATATATTTACATGTTTTAAGATGCTTAGCCATTATAATGATCATTACTGACGTACACACTCGTATGGCTGAAGACCTGAAGTTAATGTTATGTTATATATATATATATATATATATATAAACACATTATATAGTATACATACGTATAATAATACACAAAAGTATTATTTTAAGGAGGACTCTTGAAACATTACGTCTCCTACGTTTTTATAAAATTAGAAAACGTCATTATGTATCAGTCTCATACTTTATTGGTTTTAAAAGCTAAAGTTTTTACAGGATTTAAACGCAACCATGAGGGTAAACTATAGATATGAAATCAAACCTTGACTCTTACCGGTCACACTGTCAGCTGCACATCTGCGTCTCTTTGTTAAACAGAACGTGTCTGCAATCAGGGCTCTTTTTCTGCTCATTTCTTACTTTTATGTACGGCCACTAACGTTACTTCACTTAACTGTTTTTCCTCGTGTAGCTAGCTTGTATGCTAGCTGAGAATATCGCAAAATGTTTATATAGTTAACATTTGTCCTGCTGAAGTGACAAAGGAACACAGTTTTTGTTTTCAACAATACATATATTTCCATAAATTCTATTCTTTTAACTCGAGTTTAAATGTCCACTCCACAGTTCGACAACACATCAGCTGACTGACTCTTCCTCCTCCGTTGCTTTCAGGATGAATTAAACGCGTCGGCTGCTCTCTGGCGGACTCTATTAAAACAACGCGCTCATAGAGAGGAAGTGCATTTGTTGTCCCCTAAAACTGCAGATCTACAACTCTATAATTGTTTCATTTGGTCGGTTTTAATGTTGAAGTGTGAGTAGATGAGTCTAGTCTGAAACATCTAAGTGGGAAATTGCTAAACATCTTCTACAAAGTCTTTATAACTGTTTTTTTAATAGGCCTATTATGAATTATTTGAAGGGGGATTTAAAACATGTGTACTTGCCTTGGGTGCCATCACTGGGTCCAAAGACAAAGTCTGTCCTCTACCTGGGGCAAAGTAAGCCTGCACTTTTAACATTCTCTCATGACCTGTGTTCACAGATGAGATTCAATGCCTGTTTATTGTTGGTTCCCACCTATCCATTCCCAAAACTGCATGTATTATGTAAGGTCACAGGAACATAGAGGCCACCCAGGAGTTTAGCAACAAATGTTGGGCCCCTGTCACAGAGGGGTGGGCCACCTTTTCCCCCTCACCTGTCCCACCAGGCTTAAGTGTCTAAATGCTATTTTTTTTAATTAATATTTTAAATAATAAACAGACTGCTTTATTTTTTATTATGATTCACAACTTTTTACAACCCCAATTCCAGAAAAGTTGGGACGTTTTGTAAGATGCAATAAAATTAAGAATCTGTAATTGGTTCATTCTCTTTAACTTTTATTCAATTGACAAAAAATACAAAGAAAAAGATTTCCAAAGTTTTCACTGATCAACTTAAATGTATTTTGTAATTATAAACACATTTTGATGGCTGCAACACACTCCAAAAAAGTTGGGACAATGGCAAAATCAAAGTGAAAAGGTTATATAATTTCCCAATTTAACTGTTTTGAAACAGTTAACAGTAAGCAGGTGTTAAATATAGCCACATGGGCTCAGGAGTACTTTGGAAAACTGCTGTCACTTAAAGGGTTAGTTCACCCAAAAATGAAAATTACGCTGCGTTTTACTCACCAAGTCATCCTAGGTGTATATGACTTTCTTCTTTCAGACGAATCCAGTCGGAGTTATATTTAAAAAATTGTCTTTGATCTTTCAAGCTGTTTAATGCCACTCAGCGGGTGTTGCATGCTTCAGTCCAAAAGAACTTAAATAAAAAAGTGCCCATCCATAAAAAAAAAATGTCTCACACGGCTCCGGGGGGGTGAACAAAGGCCTTCTGTAGCGAATCGATGCGTTTTTGTAAGAAAAATATCCATATTCAAAACGTAATAATCTCTTTAATGTAGCTTGCGCCAACAGTTGTACACAGAAGCAGCTCTGGGCTGATGACGTATGAGGTCAGCGTTGCGCATTAAACAGCTTGAAAGATTAACGACACTTTTTAGTATAACTCCGACTGGATTCGTCTGAAAGAAGAAAGTCATATACACCTAGGATGCCTCGGGGGTGAGTAAAACGCAGCCTAATTTTCATTTTTGGGTGAACTTTAACACCTTTAACACAGTCTGCCGCTGCATCAATAAATGCAACTTGAATCTCTGTTACTCTAGGAGAAAACTATAGATCAAATGTATGCAGTGATGCTGCAGGGTTCTCTGGGCTCGAGCTCCTCTCAGATAGTCAGAAAGACAGTAGAAATGTGTGCTGTGGTCAGATGAGTCCACATTTCATCTTGTTTCTGAGAAAAACGGATGTCGAGTTCTCAGTCCCAAAGACCAAATAAGGGACTTTCATCAGCAACAGATGCAAATGCAAACGTCTGTCATGTAATGGGGCTGCAGCAGAGCAAACAGCATGGGTGACTTGCATATGTGTGAAGGTACCATTGACATGGAGGCATATAGTGGGATTGTACAGAGACATGTAATGCCATCAAGATGAAGTCTTTCATGGGAAGTCCTTGTTATTAGATCAAGACAATGCCAGGTCTCATTCTGCTTGTGCTACAACAGCGTGGTTTCATAGACACAGAGTGGATGTGTTACACTGGCCTGCCTGCAAAATAGATCTGTGTCATATTGAAAATATATGACCAGTCATGAAAAAGAGAATCCGACAACAATGATTACAGACTGCTGAGCATCTGAAATCTTGTATCAAGTAAGATTGGACAAAAATTCTGCTTGCAAAATTTTAACAATTACTATCTTCACTTTCCAAACAATTAAACATTGTAATTAAAAGGAAAAGTTGATGTGACAAACATGGCTCTTTCACAACGTTTTTGGAGTGTGTTGCAGCTGTCAAAAAGTTGTTTATATTTACAAAATAAAATTAAGTTGGCAATTTGACAAAAACATTGGAAATTTTTTCTTTGTACTTTAGTCAATTAAATAAAGGTCAACGAGAACAAACAAATAACATATTCTTCATTTTATGGCATTTCACAAAACGTCCCAACTTTTCTGGAGCTGGGGTTGTAATTGCAAGAGTCTACATTCAGAGGTTCAAAAACAAACTATTAACAATACCTGCAGGAATGACCTGCCATACAATACGCTACAATACTGTAGTGTTGTTCTCAGTATCGATTTCAATAAATCTATTGGAACAGACTCATTTTAATTATTTTATTTAACTATTTGAAAATACTAAAAAAAGTTCATTGTTAATGCTAATTATAATTCTAAATGGTACAATAAGAGATTAGCATGCACCCTTTAGATATTTTTCAGTTAAGTAATCATTGCTTTAAAAAGATTAATTGAAAAGTAGCCTAATAAACATAAACATTACGTTACAGATATCACTATGTCAGTCAGCTCAATATTGGGAGAGATTAAAAGTGGTCTTTGGTTCTCTTAGCAGCATGAAAAACAACATGTTTATTCAAATTGTGATTGGGATATATAGAAAGATCACCCTTTATAATCACTGAAGCTGTCAATCATAAATTTATTTTTGTGTTAGTATGTTTTTGACTCACTTATACCAGTTAGGCAGTCTTCAATTTTATTAATATTTAGTATAAATATATATTTTCTTTTTTGATGTTGGTCACTCTAATTGGGATTGTTCATTCATTCAAAAACCCACATTGATATAATTATAAATAATACAATATAAATACAATCCACAGAGTTTCACAAAGATCCACCCACTTTTGAGATTCGTGGTCTAGCCACAGGAAACACCCTTTATGTATGGATGGCCGGTTCATCGGATGGCTCACACACACACACACACACACACACACACACACACACACACACACACACACACACACACACACACACA